GAAGCAAGACAGACAGACAGCCATAACAGAGGGAAAGAAAAGAATTCAGACCTACCAGTGGTAATTCATACTTGTGTTGGTCTAAAATGGATTTCAACACTGAAAGTGCAAGGTTACTTAAGAGGATGGACTTCCAAATTCAACGACCATCTCTGATAGAGATAGTGCCTACTAGAAGAGTGGGTGGGAAGCCTTGGGAACTCCCCAAAACAAGCAAAGCTCAAAATCATACCCCTAGGGGTACAAACCAGGGCCAACAGCCCCACGGTCCAGGGTAAAGCCAACTGAGGCAGGGTTGCTCCGAAGGCTGTCCCTTATATAACGTTCATACATGATACAAACGGAAAGAATGTCAGCGAACGAGAAACGGTGAGAATATAATTTCCTTCTTCTAAGCCGTTTAAAAGACAAGAAAAAGGTGCCAATGCTTAGCAAAGAAGAACAGACGACATCCCTTGGCTGAAATTTTTTTTTTTTTAAATTCTAGTAGAGGTTTTACGGCACTCGCAACTAACTGCATAAGGTCATATGAGCGCCAAAAGGTGGATGTCAACAGAGAAGTCCTTACAGAGAAATCAGACTTGCTCTGCTCACCTTTCTAGCTTCAACTTTGACTGAAATAAGTGCCCCACCATCTCCCACAAAAACAACCTACACTATTAGAATGCAGCACACCCTCTGAAAACATACATCAACAGACGTACTACAAAGTATATTCTACAAAGAGATCAACGTGCTTCCTTCGGTACAAGTCAATAACACAGATATGGTCACAGAGACTTGTCTCTTCCAAAAAAAGAAATTCCATTTTGTGCTGAATGTTTCATGCATTTACATTTATATTATAAATCAGCAGATTCCAGAGCAGAGAAACTACTTTTTTTAGTAGAGGTTTTACGGCGCTCGCAACTGCATACGGTCATATGAGCGCCAAGGGTGGATGTCAATAGAGAAATCCTTACAGAAAATCAGAATTACTCTGTTCACCTCTCTAGCGAGAAACTTCTGAGAAACCCATGGCATAACAAAATAAGGAAAATAAAAAGAAGGAAACGTCTCAAGCCTAAACAAATCCACACTACATTATGTCTGGGACAATTGCCGGGGGAAATTTTTTAGTTTTAGTAGAGGTTTTACGGCGCTCGCAGCTGCATAAGGTCATAAGAGCGCCAGAAGATTAGAGGTGTTACAAGAGAGTAACAAACATAAAAAAGAAAAAGGGGAGATAAGGACGATAGATGTTTGATATGAAAAAAGGAGCAAACCACACTAGAGCACCTGCCAACCGCCCACGTTCTTCTGTATAATAATACCTAGTCTGGTTAAATAAGAATCATTTTAAAAAATGCACATTATATCTACATGTACCGGTACCTATCTACACATCATTGGGTTCTAACTACATTCTGATTTCGACTTTTTTTCAGAGACTAGACCGGAGTAGAAAATACACCAAAGGCAACACATGCACCTAAATTTTTTAAAATTTCATGCAGGAGTTATCACATACTTCCTTCCTTATGAAAGTTTGAGAATTTAGAGTAAACAGGAGCACGTCTTCATAACGAAGACCATTTCTAAATGGGGGGGAAAAGTAAGACAGATAGACAGAAACAAACTTGGCAATCATGATTGACCACTCACTAAAGTTTTCTGTTCAGATGCTCTCAAAAAAAAAAAAAATCTTTATGATCCTGGTTTTCTACAACAAATGATGTGAAAAGAACAAATCCTGCTCCATCCTCGTCTAATAAAAAGAAAACTAATGAAAAAAAAAGTGTACACATTGTTCCCAACATGTTTGTCAGTTCAAAAGAGACAGACAATAACAACAATCATTTAGCACTGTAAAAAAATGTAAAGACAGACTGGAACAATTGAGCTGTAGCAAAAAAGCAGAGATTACCAGGGGCGCCCTCCGAGCACCCGCCCTAAATATCCAATGATAGTAATCATATATTTCAATACCACATAGAGGGAATATTTAACACTCATCAACTTTCCTAGACAATCTACCAGACAAATACCAGCTTATATACGATTGAAAAATATATTCACACATAATTTCTAACATTCACACATATATATATGCGTATAAAGATATACATCTACAACAATAGAAATATACTCAATATGGATATTAATATATA